TTTTTAAAAATGCTTAAAGCATCATAGAGAAGTCATTATTGGCTAGATTTTGTTGCGCTAAATAAATCAATGAAACCTTTATAGTTCGATTATCTCACTGAAGATATTGTATATAGTCTACCGACCAGAGTCCTCTGAACTTCACCTGAACATGACGCCAAGGATAGCTATTATATGTTTATGATAAACGTCAATAACATAAACACCATCGTGTAAACTTTATTCAATTAAGCAAGGGTTACTGACTGTTCAATTATAAGCACAGTGAAAAAAAAATTATGTAAAATAAATTTAAACTCAAAATTGAACACTAAAATCTAGTTTTGATGTGAATACCAATTATCCCAGAAAATCTATCACCGAGATAATTATTTTCCGATTAGATTTGCATTTAAAATCGCATGTTATAAAGTTATGAAAAGTATTTAATCAAACTAAAGGCACTTGGTGTAAGTTTATTTGATTGCAGTTTTATCGGAAGAAAAACTCTAAATGTGTATTTCTAAAGTAAATGTTGTTACTTCGCCAGAACATAACGTAGACTAAATATTGAATACACCGGATAATGTGTTGATTTATATATTTTTTAGAATTCTAAAGTGTGGTGCTGCAGTGGCACTGCAAAGGGGTGCGTTGGATGTTAATATCATGCTTCAGTCTAATTATTATAATTATATATGGGCAGTAAAATGCATGTCTTGTAGCCATTTGTATGGCCAGTCATAAACAATAGATTCATTAAGTGGTAAATGTGTACAAAAGGTTTCGCCGCATCACACATTCCCGAATTAACTACCATCAAAACAGATAAACAAACTACAAATAAAACAAAATTAATGTAATTAATAATAAATTAATTAATAAAACCAGCGGCTGCCAGGCAAGATACGACCACATTTTGCAAGAGATGGATAGAGAACAAGCTAAACAAAAAGCGATTGTTTGTACAACCAAGGGTCATAATTCGGGAAGTATACGATCCGATATGCGGGAATATCGACAGGAACCAAGGTCTTTGGGTTGTAAAGATATACTTCAAGTTTCATTCCAATACTTTTTTCTATTTCAGTGCTTATCCAGTTTTTACTGTCTAATTATACATTCTTACATATCTTGATTTTCAGTACTTATCCAGGTTTACAGTCTGAAAATATTATTCAGTTTATTGAATAAATACATATACGTTTCTCCCTCATCCAGGTTTAAAGTTTGATAAAAGGTTTGATCAGTACTTAACCATTTTTTGTTTTTTATTTTTACAGTCTGATGATATATTTCACATTTCTTGATTTTCAGTTCATTTAAATAATAATTTTACGGTTTCCCGCGTTCAGCTTTATAGTCTAATAATAGGTTTTATCCTTCATGATTTACAGTTTAATGAATTAATATATTTACGGTTTTCCCCGTCTAGTTTCATAATCTATTAATATACGTTTATCTTTCATGATTTTCTGTTTATTGAATTAATAATTTGTATTTTCCCTTGCATTAGCTATCACTCTGGTTCACTCATACCCCCATACATATACACTTTTCTTTTAAATATTGTTTATCTATAGCTCAGGTTAATTGGTTTCCCATTAATGGTGTTAATATATTGATAGTTAAAATACGCCCCCCCCCCTTTTAATCCCTCCAAGAGTTTCCACAGTGTAGGTTTAGTTGTAAATGGCCCCCTAATGTAATGATGAATGTAATGATCTGTATTATATAATTATGTAAAAGAAAATGGATAAAGAAGGTGGACATTAGAGTTCAACTAACCATAGACAGTATTTCTTTGCATGTTAATTGTTGGCAGAACAAAATCTACTATATATTTTTTAAATTATATATTAATGTTACATAACATTCTTATTCATCATACACAAATTATGGGAGATATTTCAGACAGAATTTCCCGAGAGCTGTACCTACCCCGTATTTCTTAACCTGAAAGTGTTTTGTGTAATTAATTGCCTGGAATCGTAAATGAGACTTAGGTATGTTTAGAGGTGTAAATTCCCTCTTCGGATATAACAGGCTTCGAATGATTCTTCAATTCTTTAATATACCGGAACATAAATATACATATATCGTCATACAGCACTGACAGGCCATTTACTGCATTTAGTAAGGGATCCTAACTAGTGACTGTTATTAATGTTCGTTCGTAGGGTTTTACGTCCGCGTCCACCGGTGAAATGGCAGACAATTCCATCAATGTACAAATTTGTTATGTTTAAAGAAAATCGAATATTAGGATTAAAGTAAAAGTAGTAATTAAAACTGATATGACAATAGATAAACAAGACATAAAGGATTAAACGATATAACAAATAAACAAAAACAATAGATGGGATTAACGTCGTTACCCAATGTTGGCTTGAAAAATGATGACAGGTTAACGACTTACTGGCCAGTAAATCTTAAGGGGGTTAATTTAAGAAACGTTTGGCAGATTTTCACACTATTACAGATGTACAATGGTTGTGACACCAGTCAGTTTCTCGGGTAAACAACTGATCTATGTGAGTTATACATTCAAACCCGTGAACTGAAAATCTATACAACATGATTGACATACACGAATACATTAATTAACGCGTATATATATATTCGTGTTCTGTATTTAGACTTATTCTGTAAACGATGCCTCTAGCAACAGATTCCTTGCCAGACTATAGATATTGTTGACGCCTTAATCCAAAGAAGTTCTCTTGCCATGCCAATTACTTGTAGACTTCAATTAAATTTTGAAGAACCCAGTATGTATGTTACTATAATATGACCATGTGCGATCATTTGCAGACCAAATGCCATAAATAAGTAAGAATGTATTCGCTTGAATTTGTTTTTGTGTCCATCACTTCGCAGATGAAAGACGCTGATTAGATCCAAGGCTGTTTGCTCAGTATATAGCACCAGATCCTTCACATTATTTTTCTTTGAAAGCGTTAATCATTTTATTTTTGATTTCGCTGTTTATAATACGGGGAAGGGGGGGGGGGGGTGGTTGACGTGGTCGTGTGGTTAGAACACGAGACTGATGGCTACTATGTCGGTGTTAAATTCCGACATGAGAATTAGGGGGGGGGGTCGTTTTCATCGAAATCGCCGAGTTCCCTGCACACACTGACAAGATACGGTAAGGTGTACACTGCACTGTTAAAATTATATGTATATTTACAGTTATAAGTATAGTAAAAATACAGTGCAGGATTTGTCAAATCACATGGTTTGTTAACTTACAACATTTAAAACGATGGTGTCGATGCATATGAATACAAGGCTTATGTAAAATTACATCAAACTTAATGTAGTAATACAACCATTAGTTTACATATATGAGCTGTATATTAACAGAAATGCCGTTTGAAGTATTATTTTTACAGAAAATTGTAAATTTACTGTCAAATAGTGGTCACATCGGTTATTCTCCCGTTCACCATATATCGAATTTTGTGCAAAATATTGACTGTTCTGTCAGTCACTTTAGTCCATTTTAGAGAAATAGGTTGTTCAAAATCTGAATGCACCGAACTGGCTAATATGCCATACATTGAGTTGTGTGGGGCATTTTGCTTGGACGGTGTCATGCCACCTACTCTTCCATTGTAAGAAGCAGAACAGTAGCACATTAAACACTATTTCATTTAATTTCATTATTGTCTGCCATATCACCTCGGTGGAAGCGGACGTAAAATACAACTAACTCACACAATTTCTTTACATTATCGAATGTTGTGTTACGTGCTCGGCTGAAAGTTCCGTAAAACTTTCTGTGTTCGCCAGGATAGAACCTAGGACTAATTAGCCAAGCGGGGACAAACACATCCCTTTTAGTAATGTTACCTTGGCAAATTACATAATATATAATTCTACAATAGTTACGAGGTATTAATACATAAACTCTCTGAAAATGTTATTGTACAAATTTATGTAAATTAACATCATGATAATTTTACATGTACTCCATTTACAGATATGTAATGTTACCTTGGATGTATAATAGCTAGAGGTAAAGATACATTATAGACTGTGAAATAACATGCAATGTTAAAATACAGTTATAACGATGGCAATATTTCTGATAGTTAAATAAGGGTAAAAATACATAATAATGTATAATAATGTTAACAGTGTGGGAGTCGTTATCTGCAAAAAGTTAAAAATGCAAGCGGCCATTTTGAAAAGTTCACAATTAGTTTAAATTATACCACGTTCAATTGTTTTTCAAAGATATTCACGGATTTGTTCAGATTAGCGTTTTGACAAAATTACTTTTGTGCCATTAAATCCCTAGCTGGTTCAGTTTGTTAGCCATCATAGAGTTGATAATATCGAAGTTTTATGTCCCAAAATGGACACAGGCACTGCATATTTGTATTCGACTAAATACGTATTTATTATGACTTGTACTATGTACACGCACTTGCGAAACATATTTCGTTTCAAGAGTACACTAAATCATGACTCAAAATTCCGATGATAACATTTTTCATTTAAAGGTGAAATCATTTTAACTTACAAACTGATAACTTAAGTGAAACCCCCATTTATTTATATCCGATGTTTGTGGTTACGCTTATGTTTAAGTTTCATAAAGACAATGCTGATAAAAATAATATCGCCGACATTATATTATATTATGTTTCTAGAAACAGCACACAATTTATCATTCCAATTCATTTAAATTGACTATGATATGTACCTTGGAACAGTATTTTTCAGAATTCTTTTAAAAGAGAAAAACCAGAAATAAAAACTACTGATAAGCAGGGTGCCAAGAAGAAAATTATATCTATTTTGATATTTAGTTCACTGGGTATTAACTTAATTTAAATCTTTACAGATTTTTCAAAAGTTGATTTAATTTAAATATAAAATTTCAGCTCGGTCTTCATAAATCGGTTGCCCATGCGTTTGGCTATCCGATCAAAGTGTGTTGAAACTCATGATCTTAAACCCTTTTTAGCTTTTTATTGTTTGGAGTACAAGAATAATTTTATACTCACCCTTTTTAGTTCCATAAAACCCTCATCGTCTGGTAGATTATCCAAATCAAACACCATTTTTAATTCCGTAGCAATAAATACAATAGATGCCGACCATTTTCTAAAACTTTGTTGTTTATTGGGAGTTTTAACGGCTCTTCTCGGAAGAAGACTTCCAAACCACGTAATAAATCGAAATGTTTTAATACGATCACGAAGTTGACGAATTTTCTTCATGAAACCCATTTTGATATTTGGATTTAACCGTTTAGATAATATAAATCCCTGTAATTGGTGCAGATTCTGTTAAATTAAGATACATATCATTAACTCCAAAAATATCACCGGCTTTCCTTTTATTGTGGGAAATTTCAATCCCATGTTAAAATTTCATTAAAAAAAATATAAAGAAAATTATAATTAAAAAATTAAAAAAGAAATAACGAAGTGTGGTTCATTAAAATCAAGTCTTTCAATAAAATCACAAGGTATCACCAAATACAGCTTTATATATGTGTTATATTTATAAAAAACAATTTACGGATAAAAGAAGAAATCGTAGAATATTCTTGAGCAGTTCTCCATGGAATAAAAACCGCTAACTAACTTCCAAATTAATTCACTTTATTTTATACGTGTACTGAGATGTGCTCCAACATTAAATTATCTAAGGATACAAAAAGCATCAACTCTTCCGAATTCCTTATGTTCATTTCCAATCTAGTTTTTAGACTGATATATAAAGCGGCTGTGAAACACTTTCTATCTAATAACTATAATTTACTATATAATTCAACAGGTGATACACATACGTCATTAATTTGATATTAGTTGCTATCAGTCACGGATCCTTCCTTCAGTTCACTATAAAACTCTGTGGAACTTTAAACCTGAATAGCCTGATAAATCTGGATACATTATTAGTGTTTGCTTGCCTCGCTCGTAACTTAAAGTAAAATTACTGACTGAGGTGCCAAAATTCATATGTTACACCCATGTTATTGTATACTGAAGCAGGTTCATCCTGTCTTTTATCACTTTTCGCGTAGGTTTATGGAAGAGTTCAACTTTTATAAACCACCATACTTTAAAATAATAATAATAATATCACATTATCGTGACAGTTATCGTACAGCATAGAAGCGATTCTTAAAATACCAAAGAAGAATTAAATCTCGTGCAAAAAAACCCCAAGTTATTACAAATACATTAGTTCACTAAAGTGTATTAAATCAGGGTTATTCCTCTTACCTTGTACTTTTACCATATTCTATGGCGAAATACAGGGGCGGATCTTGGAATTTTGTAAAGGGGGGTCGCTGCAAAATGAAGGCATTGACTGCGGAGACGGGGAACGCCGCTGAGGGGGGGGGGGGTCCAAGAAAATTATCCGTCATTTCCTTGCATCTGTAGCCATACCAAGAGCTATTTCCCAGACTGGTGTGTTTGAGTCGATGGTTTGAGTCATTTTGGATCCCTACAACGGGTTGGGAACGGACGTATTATTTGAGTCTAAGAAAAGGCACTTTCTGCAGTAAAAAAGGGCACTGTCGAAAATTAGGGGGGGGGGGGCGCCCGTCGCGCCCCCCATTGAATCCGCCTCTGAAATACATCCCAGCAAGTATATATTTTTTTTACCAACTGAATAACCGTAGCGAAATAACACCTAGCTGTAATAACGGGTTGTGCCGCAAAATACTAATAAGTACACTATTTTTATAACTGAACCTTTGTGTATGATGACATACTAAATTATAACGGTAAATCTCGCATCATGGGCTTTATACATGATACATGAATGGCATTGATAATTTTGAATCGGGCAGCGTGTCAGAAATATGTATTATTATTATAATTATTCACTTTTTATCGGAACATTCAATGTAACTATAATAACATTTTTTTTTTAAATATCTTCTTGGTATGGCACGAGATTCAGAGATTGACACCTTGGTTTTGTTGAAGCAATCAGTATAATTACTTCGGCTTATACTTAGGTTGATTTCGAGCTCTGGACTTGGTAATTTTTTAAAAACAAATAAATTATACATGGTCTTCACATTTGAAACCCGACCTTTTAATACCATTTGCCACCATCAGTTTTATGATAAATTACTTTCTTGATCGCTATTGAACCCCAACCCTGTCTCTAAAACGTTATTGTTTCTTTCGTAACAGTTTTACACCGTGTTTTACATCGGTTTAATTATAGCGCTACCTCCGATTAATTCATCATTGTCAAGAAATTCATCATCGTCTTAAGGTCGGTTCACACTGTATGCGAATTTAATCCAAATTCCGGCGACCATGTAGCCTAAGCCCAAGTAAGTGCCCCCGCAAGACAAGGAGAGCGCCCCATAGCTGTGGCGTAGCAAGGGGTGGAGTGGGGGAGGGGCCTCTCAGGCCCAGTCCCAAAAAATTAAAAGCTCACTATGATATTATGCGTCGATCAATTCCATTGTGTCGTTATGCCCCGGTCAGACCGGGATAGCGTCCTTACTGCGCTACACCGACCGTACGGCGACCAGAAAATGCGCAAGGTCGCCGGCAAACGTGAACACAACGTGCGAAAATATCCCAAAATATTACAAACTTGAAAAAAAAGTCGCGTTTTTACATCTTTCAAGGGCAGATCGCAGAACCTTGGCGTTTGTTTTGAACATGCTCAAAACAAACGTCGTGACTCGGTGATCATTTACGACCATGGAGACCACCACGCTTTTACCACGCTTATGGCGATCTTGACGCGCTCTGGGACCATTTTCCGTTGAGGTAGCAGCGCAGTAAGGGCGCCACCCCTGTCTGACGGGGGTATTACTCTTCCACTCCGCTGTGGTCTTGTACTATCTATTTTATCGCTATTATATTTGTCTGCGATATCACCTCGGTGGAAGCGGACGTAAAATACAACTAACACATACACATTATATTCACGGTTATAGTGAACTGCCAATTAGTAGTACCACTAGTACGTGAGTCGTGGGGCGACAGAATCTACAAATGTTCTGCCAACTCTCACAAAACAAGCGGAATTGACAAGCAGGTCTCGAGATTTTGTCCCGTTTCTGATCCTCTCATTCACCAGAATTTGCTTCCATCAATGGCAGGAAATTGACTAAAATTTTCAAGTCCAGTCCCAAAATATGAAAAGCTCAATTACATATTATACGAGCTATCTGAAAATTTGTTCGTGCCTATACGGTGCTCGATTCCATTATGTCATCATTCTTCTGCATCTCTTTGGTTTTATACTACAATCTCATCACTGTCATATTCGAGGTTATATTGAACCGCCAATTGTGCACATGTCATGGGGCGACAGACTGTACAAATGTTTTCTGGTTGCTCGCTATGTCAACTTGCATAAAACTGCTTTCCATCGAAATAAATACCGGATGGTCAAGACATGGATCGAATCAAAATCAAAACAAGCCAACCCCCTACTTCAGTCTGTTTTTTAGGTGAACATCTTGACAGAATTAGATAATGGCCATTTTCTGCTTAGTCTAATCAGGAAAGCAATTTGATTTGCCAGTAGGCTGTCAGTTCATAATTTAGCCTACTACGCTACGTACTTCAAATTTGTATATTTCAATTGTCAACCTCATACAAGCCTGGAGTGATGGTGTGGGCGAGGGACGGGGAGGGGGGGGGGAGTTGGAATCAAGCAATGAGACAAGAATCAACAGTAAAGTCAGTGGAGAGAGATAATGGTGGCCTGCATCCAAGATATGTGTAAGACAATAGTAATTGCTTCCCCTGATTTCTGTCTGAGGTGAGAGAGAGAGAGAGAGAGAGAGAGAGAGAGAAATGGGGTTTAACGTCCACTCGACACAAACTAGGTCATTTCGGGACTAACATATGGTTTAATTTTATTTCAATAATTCGCTTGCGCGTAGGGGTCTTTAGCAGTGGGAGGAAACCGGAGGACCCGGAGAAAACCCACGAGGTTGGACAGGCGACCCTACTCCTTGTCACGTACAACCGGGGATTCGAAACCACGCCAGTCGACTCAATGAGTGTTCAGAGTCGGACAAATAGACAAGAATTAACATTAAAGTCAATGAGGATCATTAATGGTGGTCTGCATCCATGTAGATTTAAACTTAGAAATGCTTCCCCTGACTTCACGAATGTAGTTCATCTGTAGGATTCAGGCCCGTAGCCAGACGGGGGCAAGGGGGGCAATCCCCCCCCCCCCCCCCCGAAAAAAAAAATTGCCGACCATATAAAATACCTACTGTAGACTGTGCCAGATGTGCCCCCCCCCCCCCCTAAAAACTTCACTGCCCCTCCGAAGCTAGCAAGCTGGCTACGGACCTGGTAGGATTAATTCTCTTTTCTCCACATCCCCCTTTTGCATCGCATTTTTGGTGAATATTCACGATTTTGAAGTGAAAGGATCAGGAAGACTCGAATTATTCAATTAGTGCAATTACGTACAAAAATGGGTCATATATATTCCTTTGACCGGGTGTAGCAAAGAAATGAAGTAGTATTTCTATTTTACCAGATAATTGTGACATTTTGGGCGCTTTTTGGTGAAAAAGATTAAGTTTATCGGAATGTTCAAAAATATGTTATAGGCTAAGGAATGGCATGCATTTAACGTTGAAGTCATTGGTTAGAGAATTTGCTAGTTAAGTAGTTTGAAGCCTGATGGAGGCAGACCACCATTGAATTTCACCATCGTTATATTTATAACAATTCTCTCTCTGTCTCTTCTTTCCCCTTTTGCATGCCCATTTTTGTTGATTTTTTTGGCCAAGAATGGACGAAAAGTGTTTGAATTATCATTTTCTGCCAGGTTTTGGTAAATATTCTTGGTTTAGAGGCGGAAGGATAACTACGGAAGCCAATTGCGGCCATTTCATAATCTCGACTTCTCGCAAGTCGGGGGCGAGAAGTCGAGGTAGCGAGAAGTTGAGAAGTCGATGGAGCGAGAAGTTAAGGGTGAGAGTGCGAGAACAGCGAGAATGCGAGGATCTCGCCCCTCGACTTCTCGCTCCCTTGCGTTCTCGCCTTAGAGTATTTCTCGCGTTCTCATACTCTCGCTTCATCACAATCTCGACTTCTCGCTGCCTCGCATTCTCATCTCGGAAGTGCAATGTATGCACATGTCCACTGACTATCGTATCAGCATTTATCTTTGGACATGGATTCAAACAGACAGAAATGTTTGGGCTTCTAGAAAGTTTAATAGTCTTAACCAATTTTAATCTGTTCTTGCACAGGTAGTATTTTATTATCTACTCGATTTTAAGTCTTTGTCAAATCTTTTTTGCTCTCTAACTTCATCAACTTTCATTGAGATTTATTATGCGTGGTCCCCCCTTGTCAGTTGTGTAGGACGGAGGGCCTGGCAAGGGACAACATATAGTCGTTCCGATGGGATAAAAAACCGAGGTCTTATGTCCGGAATAGAAATGAAGTGGGAGCTACGGTGGCTCAGTGAGTAGGACATTTGCTCTCAAACTTCATAAATGTTCATTGAGATTTTTTATGCGTGGTCCCCCCTTGTCAGTGGTGAAGGACGGAGGGTCTGACAAGGGACAATGTATAGTCGTTCAGATGGGATAAAAAAAACAAGGTCCTGTGTTCGGAATCGAAATGAAGTGGGAGCTATGGTGGCTCAGTGAGTAGGACATTTGCTCTCTTACTTTCTCAAAGTCCATCTGGATTTTTCTGACGGGGTTCCCTCTTGTCGGTGGTGTTGGACGGAGGTCCTGACAACAGACAACGTATAGTCATTCCATTGGGATAAAAAAAACCAACTGAGGTCTGTGTCTGGAAAATCGAAATAAAGTGGGAGCTACGTACAGTGGCTCAGTGAGTAGGATGTTTGCTGTCTTACTTCATCAATGTTAATTGGGATTTTTCTGGCGGAGTTCCCCCTTGTCAGTAGTGTACGACGGAAGGCCTGGCAAGGGATAACATATAGTCGTTCGAATGGGATAAAAAAAAAAATGAGGCGGGTTCACCCTTGTGGGTCGAGATTGTGACAAAGCTAGAGTATGAGAACACGAGAAGGCGAGAAATACTCAAAGGAAAAAAGCAAGGAAGCGAGAAGTCAAGGCGAGAATGCAAGTCGAGCGGAGAGCTAGAAGTCAAGAGCGAGAACGTGAGGATTGTCAAATAATCTTGTGTTATCGGGGCAAGATCGTCACATTGTCGCACTGTTTCCTCACATTCTTGCCCTCGCTCCCTCAACTTCTCACAGTGATAAGCCAAGATTATGAAATGGTCGCAATAGGCTTCCATAGATAACAAAGTCATCAGGTTAATTGGTTATGGTGATATGAACGGGAAATAGTTACGTGCTTTTAGTATGCTTCTTCAAGTTTGTGTATCTCAAAATTTTGGTGGTCAACATCATATAAATTTTTGGTGCATTTGTTTGTTTGTCTGTCTGTAGTAAAACGCATTCAGCCCAATGAAAATTTGAGGAAAAGTTGGATCCGGGCATAGAGGCCAGAATTAACATTGACGTCAATGGGGAAATTAATGGTGGTCTGCATCCTGGTTGCTGGTAATTATCTCCCTTCACTGAAAGCGTAAATAGAAAATGGCGACCGAAAGTTGACAAAAGAATGAGTAACTATTGAGATTAACATTTTTAATAAGCTACTGTTTAGACGTCAAATTGTCAAGAATCTGCTTTTTCTCAAGATGTTATTACCACAATAGATGTTAATTTTACTATGAATTACATCGATAAGAAGAGGTTGACGCCTTTGAAATATTTGACAGGTGATAATTTTCCTTCTTCTACTTCTTCTTACTCATCATTACTGTTTTATATCCTGGTTCACGAAACCTTGAATATTGTTAGGCAACTATTCACTTATAAATACATTACACATAATATACATGTAGTCAAATTCATTTTCTATTTCACTTGCATTTTGATATATATATAGGCCTAATAAATATTATTATAACACTACGATACAGCAATAATAATTTCGTACACTGTCAGACTAGGCCTAGAGTGACAAATGGTGGCCGACATCAAATTAAATAGCCATTGCTTATTTACTATTTAGAAGTGAATATCAAGGCATGACTTAGCTTCCATCACCAACACATGATAATAATAATATTTTTAGTTGTGGTCGGCACAATCTGCCAGACAGTTATTCCATATGAAATTGGGGGTTTAATGACGCTTGTAGACATGTCTATCAATGGTCAAAGGTCGATGCAGACCTTTTAGTCTATTCCTTTATTTTTTATTTTCATCAAATGAACTGTAAATTATAATCATTTTCATTTTTTGCCAATTTTAATGGATTAATTATTCTACTTTCCATTTGCCCAATCATCATGAAAGCAGATCTTATAGGAACATTTTTTAAGTACAAAAAACAAAGCAGGGAATTATTAAATTTAGTTTGTCCGTCTGTCACCACAGTGGTAAGTGGAACACAATAACTAAGTTCTAGTTCTAACTGATGTGGAATGTTCAAACTTGGGGCAGGCATTGTAACCTACTGACCAAGTTCGATGATGAGCATTTTGCTTTGCCGAGACTTAAAACACAATAACTCTGCTTCTAAGTGCGCGTGGTGTGATGGAACTTGGTGTGTAGTTTCATTGCACCAATACCTTAACTAAATTATAGTAATAAATAAGTTTAGACTTTAGGTCAAGCAGACAGGGGCTAAGTGAGAGGGACACAATAACGCGCTTTGCGTCATGGTTTTGAGTTTTTGCGCCCCTTTGAGTTTTGGTGCCCCCTCGCAAATGGCAAAAATCATGCAGTTTCAATGCTGTTTTCACATTAAATCATAATCATAATGCTCAACCAGTGTCAAACATATACTGTGGGTCAGATATGCTACAAATCAACTCTAGCATGTTCCATACAGGACAATATTACTCAGTGCCGTGGCACTGGGAGGGACCCTCCCTCTTCCCAGTACATGCATATAAATTTTGTTTTTGGGGGGCCTGGATGGAATCGTGTTCCTCATGCAAAAGTATGGGTCCCCGTGCTGCTGAAGCAGAGTGATACAAACTTTGATTTGCAATGTTTTATAAATGTGCAAGTGATTTGATTTTGGATTGAGGTGGGAGACATCAGCATCATTGTTTGCTTGTTAGGTGGATAAGTATTATTTCACTATTTCAATCATAATCAAACGATTCTTTTCTTTTTTCATTTTAGTTGTTATATTATTTTGTGAAACAATCCAGCTAGTCAAGTCAGGTATAGTATAATTTCCATTTATCAAAATTTCATGTCTGCTCAGTGCTGAATCAATTAATTTTTCTGAATTTTTTATTGGGGGAGGGGGTGTGTTTTATTAGATAATCATTAAACAGTTGACAAGTTATTTTGATACATTTACATTAAAGTGATTTATTGCCCTTGTTCAATGTTAATTACTTTGATGAACAATTTTCGTTAATTATTTGATCGTCATTTCATATGTATTGTTCAAATTAGTGAAACAAGGGATCCTATTGATTTCTATACATCCACAATATTCGTATATTGTCATCGGACATGTCGTCTGTCCGTCATTCACAACTTTTGGCTTGTAGGGACTGGAGTTTATATTCAATTGACTTTATATTTATACAAGTGCTTTAAGGTCAAGAGACGAAAGGTACATGTATCATCCGATGGACATGAAAAATATACACATTGTTTAGGCCCTGTATATAAACTTTAAGGTCATAAGACAAAGAAGCCTCTTCATTTTCAACAAATTCAGAGAACTACTGCCTGTGTTATGGTCCTTGGTCACTTTGAATATCTTGTGGATGCTTTACAGAGTACAGGCCAAAGTTCCTACGACCTAATTTTATAGTATACACATTCTAGCCCTTCATCACTTAGAAAAATCATGTCGGTGCTAAAGTTATAATCTGATTAACTTGGTATTGAGTTATCATCTTGTTGTACGTAAGTTTTAGAACTAGAAACCAATCAAATTTTTATTTTTTCTGACCATGACTTCATCAGTGGTTAGGTTATTCCTTCTGATCAGATTTTAGTGTCTTGTTACTGCTCCCATTATGGCATTAGTATTTACCTTAACCTACATGTACCAAAGAATAAATACATAGCCTGACAACCTGTTTTATTGTCTTGTGAATTCTACTAAAGAATAAACATGTGACAATCTTTGTGTACTGCTTTAATGGGTTAGTTAGTATGGACTTATGTTTGCCGGCCTTCGTCGACTGGCGTGGTTTCGAATCCCCGGTTGTACGTGACAAGGAGTAGGGTCGCCTGTCCAACCTCGTGGGTTTTCTCCGGGTCCTCCGGTTTCCTCCCACTGCTAAATACCCCTATGCGCAAGCGGATTATTGAAATAAAATTAAACCATATGTTAGTCCCGAAATGACCTAGTTTGTGTCAAGTGGACATTAAACCCCATTTCTCTCTCTCGCCGGCCTTCATTAGCCCAGTCAGTGCAAAAACTGTAGGAGGTTACTACCCATTTCATTTCATATGTTCTGTTATCTGGCAACCTATCTTTCATTTCTTGATAAAAAATGTGACATTTAATAGGACTGAAAAAAGCACAGGATTCTAACACGATAGGCTAATATTGACATAATGCACATATTTATCAAACAGTCATATCATTCAAGTACCTGTACAATACTTTAGTAACTTGTAAATTAAGAACAACACACTTGCAAATAGTATGCCTATTTTGGGAATATTGATAGTTAAGAAGTACATTGTAACATTTTCGATTATCAGTTAAATTTTTAACTCAACATGTACATAGAATTTTCACTAAAGTTTACTATTCTGCCATTTAAAGCGGAAATTGCAAATCTTCTAAGAAAGTCAAAACATAATTATTTCTATGCCTTTTGCTCAATAGGTTGTCAACTCACAATTACACGATCATAGGTGTCATTCTCACACTTAAAACTCATTACACAGGAAATTATTTTAATAAATTTTAAAAATATAACTTAAAAATTTGCAATTTCCGCTTTAAAGATTATTATGCCTAACATTCATATTCATAAAAGAGACGGGATGAAATACAGCAGACAAATAACTGATAGCAAACAAACTTTTTAAAAAATTTAAAACCCCAAAAATGAATTTAAAAAATAATCAAGCAGTCTTGTGCTTCATAACTAGGGTAAACGAGCGTATTTTTTCACCTGATCGTACCGCTTTTGAAAATCGCTCAAAAAATCGCCCGTATGTTTGCTATTTTCGTCTGCCCTTGTTCAGTATATATTGTCAAGCGAACCATTTTCATAAGCCAATCGGAGACATCATTGATATTGCATGATTTCAAAATGGCTGCCTCCACGTCAGACTCAAAGTTTCTGATGACAGAAGAAGAATTGGTGATTCTTTGGTTAGAAAGGCCTTACCTGTTTGATTTCTGGATTCAAGAGTTTTAGGAGCAAATGAATAGCAGCTACCACAGAAATCTTACATTTTCAGTGATTCGCAATTTTGTACGCAAGTCACATGATCAACGTAATTTACTTGTCCGTTCATGATCGGCTGTAAAAAATTGTTGGATCCAGTGAAAAAATATGCTCATCTGCCTATAGCTTTACTGAACTCCGCATTCAATTCTAACACTTAAAACAGTTGATTAATGTCACATAATTGAATTTGATATCCCACCTAGAAACATCCTCGATATCCCCAGTCTACTCATTCCGTTCTACTCCACTATACCCTGGGTTAATCCATAGGGTTTCCACGATTTCAAATTATCTGCCCTGGCCTTGATTGTAGCTATGGTCTACGAACCAATCAAAGAACAGTTTACAAACCTGTCGTTTCGCCTTCGTTTTAATAAGGGTAGATAACCATATTCATGTCCATTTACTGAATGATTTATGTAAAAAATGTATATATTTCTAATTCATTTATATTTAATTGTATTATCAAAATCTGTAGTATGTTTCGCTAATTTCAAATATGTATAACATCTATATGTTTGCCTTTTGTTATTATTATTACTATTCGTTCTTTGTCTGAAATGTTTCATTCTGTTATGTTTATTATTATTGAACTTATACTTGGCAAAATTGATTCACAATAACTTGTCAACGATATCACGTGGACGTAAAATTCCGCGATGGAAGAGCGATCGATTCACAATAAAACTCTTGAACCTACATAAATGTCAGGTCTTCATTAATATAATATTTTTTAATTTGTTGTTAATAAATATGCATTTAGCATAATTTGAACTTCTCTCATTTAGGCTAATTCCTAACCTTGTCCAATGAGAGTTACCTCCCTTTGCCAACTTCCTTTTCAATTAACGATTTATGGGATTGGTCAATAAAAATAGCACAATTATCAAGGGCAGATAACTTGAAAACGTGTCCTCCCCATAGATTAACCGAGGGGTTAGTCGAGTAGAACGGAATGAAACCACTGGGGATACCGAGGATGACCTAGAAATGAATCACACAAATTCAAATTTAAACTTTGAATAAATCTATAACAAAGAGTCTCATTTGTGATTTGGTGCCAAAACCAAAATTCAAGGGGTTTGGAGGATTCTTTGCTATTCTCTTCTGAGTACAAAAATAGGCACGATCTGATGAATTCAGCAACTAAACTCAGATATTACCGGATAAAAAAGCAACTAAAATATCGTTGGATAGCCCGGTCAATGGAATATCATATGATTCCTTTCAGTCTGCTTCCTGAAAGCCGATTCAGCACTGCTTCGCATTTGCCAATTTCACCATTCAAGTGGTGGTATTATTATAAGAGTGCAACTGACCGCGATAGTTAACCGTGTCCCTCGGGGGATGATATAAAGGACGAGAACAGGAAAAAAATGACAATTTGACATTATAGACATGCAGTATTCTGTTTTTTAATTTTAATTTATTATTATGAAAACCCTTGAAATGAGGAGAGGCTGTTGTGAATAGGAGTGGATATTGTTAATTACGTGCAAGTGACAGATCAAATTGGTGTGGCTTAAATGGGCATTATGGAAGATTAGATAAAGAGCAGACAGTTCTTGATATAAAGCAGATAATGAAACAGAATATGCTGAAAATTTCAGTCAAATTGCTTCACATTAACCCGAGATATTATTGATTCAGTTTTAGGCTAGCCTTGAATGTCATAACATTTCAGGCCTAAAGAAAGACCTGCAATAGGCAGATTTAGTTCTTGCATTATGTATGTTTAAGAGATGCACATTGTAAATAAATATATTTATTTTCAGAATGTCATTCTGTAATACTAGATAGTGATCAAGGTGATATATATCTTGGTAATGATGAAGTGTTTCCTGCTTTCGGGTGTAAATACTGGTATATAAAAGGTGGACCTAATAAAACAATCACTATAAGGTACATATGTTATTTATTAGTCCTATACATGTAAAACCAGAGGGGACTATAGGTATAATCACTGTCCATTTGTCTTTATTGTCCCCCGCCTTTATTTTTTGAGAAGAGTTTTAGTCATGCTAATCTTTTTTGGTGATTTGTCAGTATCTGAGAAACAGAAGATAATCATCAGTTAAAATTTTGTATTTTATTTTACAGTTTTGATAGTATACATATTATACCAGGAGTTGATGGAGAATGTAGTCAAGATACTTTAGAAATGGGTCCTGAACCTACGACTATATATTGTGGTACTTCTAGAAATGATACACAACCATACATCAATTCTTATGGTCATGTCTGGTTAAAATTTGTATCAAAACATCACTACCTATACAGTCATTTTAGACTCAAGTATATTGTTGGTAAGATATTGTTTTGTTTTTTTTAGTCCAGCCCAGTACATTTATTTCGTAATCACCATTCATCATCAGGTAACTTTTTACATGACTTCTCCAGAAAAACTACATGGCTGAAAGGGACAAATTTAACAATCCTTTTCTTTGACTGACATTTACATTACCCAATCAGTATTGTTGCTATTAGTTACTTGCATGCTGAATTTTTATTATTTCATTGAAATAGGTTAATTTGATAAGGGTGTCCAGTTTGAACTAATATTTCCTACAATGAATTGGATAGTAAGTGCAGGGTGACTGCACCACACACAATTACACAAAACAAATCTATGGACAAGACACAATACGCAGAAATCACAAACAAACGCACATATCAGATTAATGGTGGTGTGGTTAATTGTATCTACAAAGTATGACAAGGATTCCATTCCCACAATTCAAAGGTCAAATATTCAATTGTTACCATCCATTTTCGACATCATATCAGTTACTGCCTTAAACTTAGCAGTTAGTCAACAATAATTCATTTCTTTTCATTATAAAAGTCTTGAAAAGAAAATAATCCGAAAGTGGCAAATATTTATGGCTTCCTCATCTTCTCTTACCATCATCTTGGGACGTGAAATTTATACACATGTCTACTGACAGACCTATATTTAAAGATACATTATGGGAGATTTTTATAGAGAATTGGCCATTCTTGCTATAACAGTTCAAAAGTAGATGATGAAAGAAGAATATATTGAAAATTTCAGTCAAATTACTTTATTCTGAACATAGTTATCATCGTTGTAATATTTGACTAGAAATGGTAGTGAAATGTGCCTTCACCTTGACCGATCGTTTGATTGACAGGCGTTAACTCCACCTACATATCTCGATTATCAAGTAAAGTTTTCAATGGCATGCGGAAACGCTCTACAGCGTCCTCGCTAAGTACACTCTATCATTTAGCCTCGATCTAACTGACATCCGGATGCGCCATATTTGAATTAATTAATAAGTGAAATCCTATTTAAATCCAAGCTGTAGCCGAGCCATCCGTGGGTCTACAGATTTGATTTTGGGCTTGTTGTTTAAATAAAGATCTAATTTATAATTTCTATAACATCTGAAGCCTAAATTAAGACTTACAATAATCAGATTTTGCTCTTTCATACTGTATGTTTAATTTGAAAATTTTGCTCATTAAATCTGATTAAAATAAATTCAAACTGCACGCTTCAGTTAAAACAGCGTCTTGGATCATTTAGGGCACAGGAATTTACTAACCAAGTTTGTTTTAAAAAAATTCTATCATCAATCTTAAAATGCAATATTTTAGTTTGGTAGAGAGATTTTTAGTGGTATGTTGAGGGGAGACAAATTGAGTTATAATAATATTTTGCATAAAGTTTGGCTAAATGTTTTTGAGTCAAGTCACATTGTTTTAATCCCAGATGAATATTTTATTTTGTGTTATTTATAGGTAAACCAGTTATTAACAGTAGAGCAAGATGTGGATATAATCTGTTTCATTGTAATAATGGTAAATGTATATACAGAGATTGGTTATGTAATGGTTTAGATGAATGTGGAGATAACAGTGACGAAGATGTTTGTAATACGCATCCACAAGGTTGGTTCTGTATTCAGAACTCTTTCATGTTTGCCAGCCCTGAAATGTGTTGCTGAATTTACCAGCAATAATAATCATGATTCTTACACAATGAATAGATCTGAATTTGTCAATGTTCTGTGTGAAAAGAACTGAAATTAATATAATGCTTTTAATTCCACCTGTTGTGTCAGTGATAAAAAATAAATCTTTATATTGAGATCTCTTACAAATTCAAATTATATGAACAATATCATTCAGTTCTATTTTTCGTTTGTTTACTTCAGTTCTCGTTTGTCCGTTCCTATGTTAAATCTGTTAGTTTTTGATATTTCAGAGACAACAATGCCATCTGTCCAGTGTAGTTCAAATGAATTATATTGTCGTTTAAAGAGTTCAAGTGAGTATCGTTGTTTGAAGAGTGTTAATGTATGTGATGGTATAGAAGATTGTTTATCAGGTGAAGATGAAACATCAGATATTTGTACTAGTAAGTAATCAATACATATTTATAATATATGTAACTGGGCAATAATAAATGTTCCATAAATGAAATTATAATGAAGCTAGTTTTAAAAATTTCAGCTTCTACATGTACATTACAAAGCTCCACAAGTATATGACTTTAAAGCATAGAAGTTACTTACTTCAAAACTGTCACTGTTCCTAGGATTTCTTATACGTATACTAAACCCATTGCATCCAAAATATTTAATTACAGAAACGCATTATCTAACATCAATGCAAAAGAATTATATGATGACCCTCTACCCTGTTCTTGCTCTACGTCGTCCTTCATTTACCAACCAGCTGGACATGTAGTCACTGGTGATTTAAACATAGTCCAGAATAATAAGTTACTTGAGATTTTGTCCAAAGGACCCAAATACCGGGAACTGCAACCATTTTCATGGGATCAAAATTTCAAACTTATTATGGATGCCGTAGAGGACTACGCCAGATCATGGGCCAAGAGGGAAGATGTTATCTCTGATACTCTCTCAGATTGGACTAAGTCTATCAGTTGTTTACTTAAACGAAGAATTTATATGAAACGTTAGTTAGTTGATACTAGGCCTAAATCTATTTTCAATGATGTTAGCATTGTTGAAAATCTCAACGCCTTACATGACAATTATGTCATTGTACCGGCTGACAAAGCGTCCAATAACTTAGTGTTTATATGTAAACGATATTATTATGACTTCCTGTTCAAAGAACTTAATTTCGGGAAATCAATCGACAGTGCTACATATAAACGCTCTACGCTTAGTAAGGATGAAATTATATCCAATCACAGATCTGTACTCACTTCATTTGGTACTCCATGTGGAGATACCCATACAGATCTGGCCTTGTTGTATTGGATACCTAAACTACATAAAAATCCCTACAAGCAACGTTTTATAGCAGGTTCATCCCGTTGTTCCACAAAACCACTTTCAAAAGTATTGACATCCATACTAACGGCAGTGAAAGAGCGTATTCAAAAATACTGCGACAAAATATACTCTCGTAGTGGTTTTAATCAAATGTGGATATTAAAATATTCCAAAGAATTACTTGATGGTTTACAATCTAGATCACTTGCTTCAATCTCATCTATACAAACGTTCGACTTTTCTACTTTGTACACTAAAATTCCCCATAGTAAATTAAAAGCTCGGTTAAAAGACATTATTCACAGTGTCTTTTCATATAAATCAGGAAATGTTAGATATCAATATTTAGTTGTTAATTACAATTCCACATATTTTGTCAAGAACCATAGTGATTCCAAAAATAAATTCACCGCCAACAAGATAATTCAGATGTTGGATTTTTTAATTGATAATATCTTTGTTGAATTTGGAGGGGAAATTTATCAGCAAGTTGTAGGTATCCCCATGGGCACCAACTGTGCACCTTTGCTTGCTGATTTGTTTCTCTATTCCTACGAAGCCGATTACATACAGGCACTTGTAAAATCAAAAAAACGATTAGTCAGACATTTTAATTTCACTTATAGATATATCGATGATGTTCTATCACTGAATAATCCAAAATTTAGTGATTATGTAGAATTCATATATCCTGATGAGCTTGAAATTAAAAACACTACTGACGGTGACAATTACGCTTCCTACTTGGATCTGCGTCTCGATTTTGACAATTGCCATAAACTTAGTGTTAAATTGTACGATAAACGTGATGACTTTGACTTTCCGATTGTTAACTTTCCATTTATTAGTAGTAACATTCCAATATCACCAGCTTATGGAGTGTTTGTGTCTCAACTAATTCGTTACGCGAGAGCTTGTTCATTTTATTCTGATTTTTTAAGTAGATCGAGGCATTTGTCATCTAAGCTTCAACTACAGGGATACTTGCGAACTAAACTTATTAAAACCTTTAAAAAGTTTTATGGCCGTCAAATTGACTTGATTGGTAAATATAACATGTCTCTCTCGGCTGTTATTCTAGATATATTTAATTGACGCGTATACTATCTCCCTGATAATGTCTGTCTACTAAATCGTTAACACTGTTCATCACGTGCATTTTGCATACCGATAGTTCATTGGCCAATCACGCTATTTTACCGAGATTTCGCCTAATAGTTTGGATGCAGCTATGGCGGGTGTGGCGCCAGGCTGGGTAAGCTTACTCTTCCGGACACCTGTTACCACTGTTTGTCGTGTATTTTGTACACAGTGAACAGTCCATATGCTGATTACACTATTTTGCCTTATTACACTAGTTTGCCTATACCGTTTTTTTTTTTTTTAGGACTTCGAATTTTGTCTAATGGTTTGGATTGTTCGTACTTGGTTTTATTTTATTTTACTTTAAAATTTTACAGTTAAGCTTAAACATGCATTATGCAAGAGCTAAATCTGCCTATTGCAGGTCTTTCTTTAGGCCTGAAATTTTTTTTAAAGTATTAATTAGACATTAATTAACTGATCCAGGCCTCAATCAACTCTCGATGGCATCAGATTTCTCCGATATTAAATAGATTTGAATGGTTCAGCGATACTTTGATTTAATCAAATATGGAGGACCGAGATTTAGCTTCGATCAACCAGTACGGTGGTTGAAATTTAGGCCTGAAATTTTTTTTAAAGTATTAATTAGACATTAATTAACTGATCCAGGCCTTAATCAACTCTCGATGGCATCAGATTTCTCCGATATTAAATAGATTTGAATGGTTCAGCGATACTTTGATTTAATCAAATATGGAGGACCGAGATTTAGCTTCGATCAACCAGTACGGTGGTTGAAATTATTGCACACGTCTGTCAAACCTTCAAAGGCTAATATCTTCGCTTAGAATAGAGAAATTTGAATGAAATTTTCAAATTATTCATTTTACATCATCTACTTTCGAACTATTTTAGCAAGAATGGCTAGTTCTTTATCTAAATCTTACATAATGTATCTTTAAACCTTTATTGTTTTTATAGAATGCCTAAAAATGAATTGTGACTTTTTAATTGTGTGATTCCGTCTATAACATAAACAAATATTGAAATAACTCAAAAACATTTCTTATAATTACTTAGAGTTATTGTCCTTGATTATGTGATAGGATCTTGTCAATGATATACAGAATAAAGATGTTGCTGTTTATGTAATTAAAGATTCACAATGCAACAAGTTTACATTTTTATTACAGAATCAAAATCAGATAAGCAATGTTATTATAAGCTTTATAACAGTTATGGACATTTCACATCACCAAATTACCCTCATCCTTATCCAAATGGAGTCTCATGTCAATGGCTGATCAAGAGTGTAGAAACATTAAAACCAGTACAGCTTCGATTTGTGGACTTTAATGTTCAGTGGACTAGAAATACAGACCATGTTGTGATATATGATGGTAAAGATATAAATAGCAAGGTTATTGGTGTTTATAATGGTAATAATCTACCTCCACTCATCATACAATCTACCACTAATTGGTTACTGGTACAATTTCACTCAGATTCTACAATATCTGGTAGAGGATTTAATGTAACATATCAAACAAAAGGTAAGTTTAACATTGTTGCCGTGTACTGTCTTTATTCAAATTTTTATTTTGGCACTGTAGTTGTCTCAGCTTGCAGTCGATATTCTTTTTTTTCTTTTAGTATTGTTGATTATCAGTTGAAAAAACAAATAAATAGTTTGATTGTTTTTTCTTTGAAAAACAATAACCTTGATTTTAAATGGGGAGTGATAAAACTTGGTGAACAGTGTCATTACATCAAAACCTTGACTGAGTTCAAACATGAGCATTTTCTCCTTGTGCTAAGTAGAGATAAGCAGTTTGATTGCTTGATGCTTTTTATACGCCCACATTTTCATGTGGACGTATATTATCGTCGCCCCTGTCCATCCACAGTTTGTTTGTGGACACTCTACAGGTCACAAATTTTATCTGATTTTGACGAAACTTGAAATATAGGTCTATCTCCCAAAGATCTCGGTTCCTTTCGATATTGGCATGTATCGGCCGTAACTTCATGGATTATGGCCCCTGATTGTACAAAAAATCACATTTTTAGCTTGTGGACACTCTAGAGGTCACAATTTTGATCTGATTTTGATGAAACTTGAAATGCATGTTTATAACCCAAATATCTTGTTTCCTTTCGATATTCGGATTGTAACTTCTTGAATTATGACCCCTGATTGTATGAAAAATCATGTTTTTAGCTTGTTATCCCTCTAGAGATCACAATTTTTATCCTATTTAAAAAAGCGTTTTAGTGTATCACCGTTACACCCTAATGATAGTTGAGTTCAAATTACGTCAAAATCAGACCAAAACTGCCGGACACAATGGCCGCCCATTTTACGCAAATAGTCTAAAATATTGTATATCAAGGTTGTGGACCCTCTAGAGGTCACAATTTTCATCCGATTTTGATGAAACTTGGAATGCATTTTTATATCACAAAGACCTTGGTTCATTTTGATATTCGTGCATATCAGATCATAACTTCCTGAATTATGGCCCCTGATTTTTCGAAAAATCACGCTTTTAGCTTGTGGTCCCTCTAGAGGTCACAATTTTTATCCAGTTTAAAAAAACGTTATTATTATTATAGAATATCACCATTACACCCTAATGATGGTTGAGTTTGCATTTTGTGAATATTGGACCAAAACTGTAGGACAAAATGGCCGCCCCATGTATGCAAATAGTGTAAACATCTGGTATATCAAGGTTGTGGACCTCCTAGAGGTCACAATTTTGATCTGATTTTGATGAACCTTGAAATGCATGTTTATAACCCAAAGATCTTGGTTCCTTTCGATATTCACGCATATTGGATCGTCAATTCCTGAATTATGGCCCTTGATTGTATGAAAAATCGCGTTTTGAGCTTGTGGTCCCTATAGATGTCACTATTTTTATCCGATTTAAAAAAAAAAAATGTGTGAAAATCGGACAAAAACTGACGGACATAATGGCTGCCCCTTGTACGCAAATAGTGTAAAAATATGGTATATCAAGGTTGTGGACCCTCTAGGGGTCACAGTTTTTATCCGATTTGGATGAAACTTTAAATATATGTTTTTATCATAAAGATCTTGGTTCCTTTTAATAATCACATGTACGCACTTAACTTCCTGGATTATGGTCCCTGATTGGTTGAAAAATTGCATTTTTAGCTTGTGGATTCTCTAGAGGTCACAATTTTTTTTCCGATTTTAAAAACCGTTTAGATATATCACTATTCCACCCTAATGAAGGTTGAATTGGAATTTCGGGAAAATCAAGATGAAAGTGCCAGACAAAATGGCCGATCTTTGTACACAAATGGTGTATAATTTTTATCCGATTTTGATAAAAGTGGAGACATATCTTTATATTCTAAAAATCTGAGTCCCTTTTGATATTTGCACATTTCAGACCATAACGTTCTGGATTATGGCCCCTGATTATACAAAAAATCATTTTGTTTTTAGCTTGTTCTCTATCCATCTCTTGCAAAATGTGGGCGTATCCTGCCTGGCAGCCGCTGGTTTCACAATACTTTCATGCCGGTGTTGGTTGAGAAAGTTCCTCAGACTTTTTCAACATTGTTTTTCAACATGGTTTCCTCTTTGCAGTGGTGCAAGGTGGAAAGCTTGGTAAGGAAGAATGTGTAGTAGTTCGGATCGGGCACAAAATCGAGTTCCCTATACATATTGGTGTACATTAAAAGAACCCTTTACAGTTGGAATTCAACGAAGAGTAGACAAAATTTCCATCATTGCACACTGCATGGCATATGTCCATCATTAGCCTGGTTAGGGTAGATCAATAGGACGTTAAACCCTATTTCCATTTGATGCTGCAATTTTATTTCAAGACTGTAAACTTATGATAGATGACCAAACTGTTGTACAGATCTTCATTTTGTAATAATTATAATATAATATTTTATAGTTTAATTTGTTATATAATAATATTATATATTTTATTGTATAATATAATATTTTATAGGTTATTGTATGAGTGATCAGCAGTCATGTGGTGATGGAGAATATGATTGTTATGAAAATCGTCAACGATGTGATCGAGTGTGGAATTGTTTAAAGCATGGTCGAGATGAAAGAGGATGTGGTAAGATAAACTAAAGCAATATTATGGACATACCGTAGTTAAAGGTTGTTATAATGTGATGGTCTAAAGTTTTTTTTATTACCATGATTTGCCACCAGAAATTCTGAGTTCAATACTGTGGTTGCTGAGAAAATTATCCCTAGTCAGTAGTGCAGAATAGATGGCCTGGCAAGAAGCAGCATCTAGTTATTGAAGAGGACAAAAAACGAAGGTTATAGAAGTGGGATCAGAATGATTTTCAAGGAGAAACTGTACATTTAGTTATTGTCCCCCATATTCCTGAAGAAATGGCCCTTGAAATTTCCACTCTGGCCATTGCTGGATTGGCTTCTGACACTTGAGCTTTTGAGGGAGTGTGTCTATTCTTCCTGTTCAATCAAATCTACCCCAAGTACAGCAACATGACAGCCCTTCATTTAATCAGGGATCTTCCCTAAAACTTTGGACTGATTTAAGGTATTAAAAACGGTGAAAGTATTGTTCGTCTCCAAACAGTATTGTTTACATTGGGCTGACCTTAAAAATATCTTTGTTTCACCAAACCCGACCCACAATCGAGGAGAAGGGTCTATAGGTCGGGGTTTTTTTCAGATTTTTTTTTTTTAAGTCAGAGAAATATCAAATCAATACAGAAAACTTATTAGCTGTATACTACAGATTCATTAATTTTGTTTAATGAATTTTGGGTCTGTCGTAAAACGTAACGAACTTAATTTGACAGCTTGATAATTTTCCGGGTGGAAACATTCGTCTTCTTTATTGGCAAACAAATCAATGACATCGGCCATCAGGATTTTTCGTGATGCACGACTCGCACACGATTTGCCACAAACTTGAAGTGTGAAACTCCTTCAACACGTTTTTAACGATCGTGCGGGTTGTGCCTTCATTTTTCTCGAAAACGGATATTGAAAATATCGTCGTCCTGTTTAAAACGACGCACCACAGACATAGAGGTAGAATCATTTCGTGGCAATGAACGTGCTTTCGTCTGCAACCATTTTGTTGAGAAGCGACACCTATGACGCTTTCGTCTTGATCAACCAGTTTCAATAATGAATCAAACCATAGCCATAGTAAAGGGAAATAACTCTCATGATATATTTCAGGTTGACACACAAAATAAAATAAAAAGATTGTGGAAAAGTGCAATGAAATAATTTAAGTCGGGGGTGGGTTTAGTTAGTCGGTCGCGTTAGGCGAAACAAAGATATTTTTAAGGTCAGCCTTGTATATGTGTTGATAGTCTCGTTTGTCACGCAATTAGTTTTTCTGCAATATTCTGCTATGCACTGGTTAATTGGGCATAATAAAATTGTGAGTCGTGATGTAACATTATGTAAACATATTTGGTCCAATTTGGAGCTCTGTTTAAAGTAGCTAAGTCTCTAACTCAATATCATCCAAATTAGAGTCAAAACGGAAACAACTGAATGTAAATCAGTTTATATACAATCAGATTACATTATTATATGCGTTGCGACCCATTTGGGTCAATTTCTAGGTCCCAAGTATTAGCGATTTAGCTCCTTTAAAGCGTAATGATATTGTTATGCAGTTAGCTATTGGTTGTTAATCGGACTGTTGACCAGAAATTTTTGGAACAGAAATTTGCTTCCTTTCCAACAGTGTTAAGTGGGATTAGCTCTAATCAAATGAAACACTGCGAGGAGTATAATTTTCCCCAGACTTTCGAAGAAAGCAGGAAACTATTGAACAGGGTTTGTCCATCTGTTTGACCGTCCGTCACACTGTGCTTCTAATTGAGGTATTTATAAATGATCAGCATTTTCTGCTTAGTCTTGAGCAGAGAAATCAATTTGATTGGTCGATGCTTTGGATGACAATTATTTGATTCTAATTGCGTGAGGGAGATGAATCTTAAGTGCTTTGTACTTTGACAAAATTTAATACTGAGCATATTCTGCTCATGTTATTATTTCAAGATTTGACATCATGATTTTCTCCAATGAGATCTTAGTTTCTGATGTTCTGTTGGTGTTGGCATGTGTTGGATTTCTACTGGTACTTGACTATTTATCATAGCAGTTTCAATTCATTCTTTCTAATATAAATACCAACATTTGATATATGATTAATTTACAAACAAACACGTTCCAAGCATACAAATTCCAAATGATAATAATGAATAAAATCATTACATTTTATCTACAGTAATAGTTTTCTTGTTGATTAACCTACTTACTGACGAACATATGAGATATCCAGATACAGTATAGCAAGGCATTTGCTTCATACAGATAAGTGACACGTTCACTCCTGCCCAAAGAAGGGTGCTTTCCCTAGAACACCTCTCTGACAAACTCACATGTGTGCATCCTATATATACTATTCAAAAAAAGTAGGGGATATTTGATTTTGGGGGCATAATACTAAAATATGCAAATGACTACGAAAAAAGTCACTATAGAACCTAACAGAAGAAACATTTCCAGTTACATGTGACGCCCAAACGCACCAATAGCTACCGCATGGAATGCAGGTGATGCTTGGGATCATCATGGGGGTCCAACCCAAGATTTGCACGACTCTGACTTTGAATGTTACAGTCATTGTGGCATTGAATTCCAGGGTGGAAACATCAGTTTAATTGTTTTAGTGACCAGAAAACAAATTTTGATATGCGTCGGCTTACCCAAAATGAAAGGTTACGTGCCCTTGGCATTCTACAGATCGGCACAACACAGGCGGTTGTGGCGCGGACGATGAATGTTTCTCAGTCTGTCATAAGCAGGCTATGGTCCAGATACCGTGATACACAATCTGTACAGGACAGACCACGCTCAGGTCGACCAAGGGCGACAACTCAAGCCCAGGATCGATTTATCCGTACCTTGGCCTTGAGAAATCGTGTCATCACAGCAAATCAGATCAGCGCTCGTCTTCAAACAGACACTGGTGTGAGAGTGAGTGGCCAGACGATTCGGAATCGACTGCATAGGGGTCACCTTCGCGCCCGACGTCCTCGCGTGATCCCTTGTTTGAGAGATCATCACATTCAGGCAAGACGTCGTTGGTGTAGGGATCGTCAACACTGGGATAATCGACGCTGGAGCAATGTGATGTTTTCAGATGAGTCAAGGTTCACTGTTGATTTTTTAGACAGACGTAGGAGGGTGTGGCGTCGCCGAAACGAGCGCTTCCAAGACGTTAACGTCATCAGACATGATCGATTTGGGGGTGGTTCTGTTATGGTGTGGGGAGGCATCACTGTTGCTGGAAGAACGGCTTTACATGTTGTTGCAGAGCGTGTTACAGGCCAGTACTACCGGGACAACATATTGGCAGTCCATGTTGTGCCGTTCGCACGACGTCATGGCCGCCGTTTCATCTTCCAGGATGACAACGCAAGATGTCACAGGGCCAGGATCGTTACAGGTTACCTCCAACAACAGAACATCACCACATTACCTTGGCCAGCACTGAGTCCCGACCTCTCCCCCATCGAGCATGTCTGGGACATGCTTGGACAGAGGTTACGTCAACGTCAACAACGTCCTGCCAATGTCCAAGAACTTGCTGCTGCGTTGCAACAGGAATGGGACAATCTGGACCAAAATGACCTTAGGCGTCTCATTAGGAGTATGCCACGTCGGATCAATGCTTGTTTGGCAAACAGAGGAGGATTTACCCGTTACTGACTTGGTTGTGATGCTGTGGTAACTTTGCTGTTTGACCCCGGGTATCATTTTACCCTTATAATGGTCAGTCTGTGCCTTACTTAGTCTAACGATCATTTGGAATAAATCGATGAATGTTAACTTCATTTCATTTTGTCATTTGTTTCTTCGTCAGTTTCATTAGGTGACTTTAATAACACTTAAAAATCAAATATCCCCTACTTTTTTTGAATAGTATATATACACTGGAAAATATAAGACACAAAATTTGGTTTAGATAGCATTGAAAATCTTCTTGAACTGTTTTATCAAAAAAAATATCTATGCTCAATTAAAATGTTATTAGGTTTTATATAAAAGGTTTAATCAGTCCATCTGTCCGTTCATCTGTCACACTTTTTAGAACACAACAACACTCAATTCTTATTGAGGTAGAATGTTTAAACTTAGTGATCATAAGGTGAATGTCTTGACTGAGTTCGATGATCAGCATTTTCCGCTATAACTAAGCTGAGGAAAGCAATTCAATTGATCGATACTTTGAGACAATAACTTTGATTCTATTTCTAATTTAGTGAGAGTAATGAAACTTGGTGTATAGTTTGACTACATCGATCATGAGCATTACAAAAATATAAATTAATGCGTCACCTATTTATTTTGGGGTTGACTTGTTCACTTGTTTTATAAATTTTTTTGTTTATTATTTATATTAGATCACTGTAGTAGTACTGAGTTTAGTTGTGGAGTTAAAAGTGGTAAATGTTATCATGAAGATGTAAGATGTGATGGTAAAAGTTATTGTTTTGATTACTCTGATGAGAAGAACTGCAGTAAGTAGAATGCTATATTAGGACATGTTTAAGTTTGTTACCTGTATTACCTGTAGTACATGTATATCAGATTTATATATATTTGTTGTTATCTAATCTGGTTTGAACCATGGACCGTGTATAGATGGACAGGCAACGCCCACGAAGCCTTTAGAATTGTGTGCCACGGCAAAAGAGAGGCCTGACAATCGTGACTAAATTAAATTAGCTCCCCTCGCGCAAATACCTGTATTAAGTTTAAAAGCAAAGTAACAGAAATCAATTCATAATATTTTTATTTATCTTGCTACTCTTTTTTTTTGAAACCCATACATAGATAGACTACTAACTGATGATTGGGGTGTAAATATATCAACACATCGTCTTTGTTTACTTCGGACGCGCCTATGTGAATCCGAAAAAAAAAAACGTCGAGTTTTTCTTAAAAACAAATCTACTAAAACACTCTTTTAATTTTTACTTCTGCACAATTAATCATCATTCCGGGCAGTATTATACCTGAACTTTATGTTCATAACTTTAAAATCCTTCATACATACGGGAATTTGGAGTATTAAGTAAAACCAAAATGCTGACAAAACCAACGAAAATATTGAAATCGATAATTTCACAATTTTCAACTGCGGAATTTGGAAATTTCAAAGTTTCAAACTGGACAAATTCGTCACTACCGGATAGGAATACTTATCAGGTTGAAAAATTACCGTGTAACTATAAGAATACCGTAAATTCCAAGGAGGAGTTCGAGAAATTAATCAGTATAAAATCCCGCAACGTCAAAAATCACATCGCTTGATTTGCCGTTGACATTGAGATCTCGCTTTGTCTCGCGCAAGCGGCAGAGAATCCAACAAACGGGACTCGTTGCCTGTCCATCTATACACGGTCCATGTTTGAACTATATTTATTTGCTATTTTTACAATTGTATAACTACATTCATTACAGTATGTAGGATAGGAAAATAAGAATAAATATAAATACCATTTCCTGATCTATTCTGTGTTGTATAGATCTATAGTTATTCTGTTGTGTTAGCTTTTCAAGAAATAAATACCTATGTCTTTGGGCAAATGTTTGTGACAGTTTAAATTCCCCCAATAAAATGGCAAAAGTAGGGCCTTGTCTTTCTGACTTTCTGGACATCAACCATAACGATGGCTATCAAACAGGCCAGGAAAGAGTCGAAACTTTTGATTAACTGTCAGGCAAATTGTAGATACATATATGAAGCCAATACTTTAATTAGTTACACACACACAAACGAATTGTATAAGTAGTATGAACTCAGTCCAGTATATTAGCATGTCGGTATATGTGGTTAAATGATTAATTGGTTATTATTTCCTTTACTTTCCAGATATATAAAACATAAGAATTTAGACATATACAATTGTGCAAGTAATATAACTAAAATGTTTAAATTATTGATGATTTTATTTTAGCTGCTGATCAATGTGGTCCCCATCGTGGATTATTTCTATGTGATAATGGACGATGTATTTATGAGACATGGGTGTGTGATAATTCAGATGATTGTCATGATCATAGTGATGAATTAGATTGTAGTGGTATGTTGATACATGAATTCTATTTGTCACAAGAACTTTTTTAATTTCAAATTCAGAAATATCCCCAAAATGGAAGATCGTTTAAAAAGCAACTAATACCTATGTTAAGATCGTATTAGTGCCTATCGGTTTTGAAGTATGAAAAGTTATATAATAATGCTGATTCAACTGAAAATTGACAAATGACAAATAAAATAACTCCTAGTCAGACCAAACTATAGTCTCGATATACATGACATCATATAACACACTATTAATCTGGGTAACCAAGACTAGACAGTGAAGAATACTCTGAGAGTAAATCATAGACATACTAATAATATAAACTGCTCCATCCAGTGATGTCAATATGGACAACAGTGACACCATAGGAAGTAGAAAATCCACCATCTTCCACTACCCCATATGACAACATTGTTCAACGTTGCCTTGTGTAGGTTTGCCAGTAATGTCGAGCTATGTTGCATTCAAAAGCAGCAACAAACTTTCGATTGTGAATTTATCATTTCATACATGAGTAAAGGAAGTAACAATCATATTTAGTCAAAAATAGGGTCAATTTAGCCAAGTTTCACATCCCATTATTTGCTCACAACAGGCTGATGTTGATTAAGAATTTAGGCCTTCCCCTAACTTATAGCTTTTACATCGAAGAGAGAGCAAAAGAGATAGAAATTAACGAGTAAAAGGATTAGTAAAACATGTTTTTCAGATTACGGCCAAGTATAAAGCCATAGGCCTATCCCTACCTCCTACTAAAGACCTATATGATGTTTGTAATGTATTTCTCATACACGCCTATATGTAAATAGCCTAATGAATGCTCTATTACAGACTACTATAGGCCAAACGACAATGTGCATCTTTCTCTAAAAAGAATTGTACATGTAAAAATATAGGCTTATATATTATACATGTAAATATGTATAAGTTTATATATTTTTTAAAATTAAAATTGATATGACTAGGAAAATTGGCATATGCCCCTGTACATTTTGGCGATTTTGTATGACCCGATTCCCTTTTCTAACTTGTATTCCACCTTTCTTTGCCATAATTTTATCCCCCATCTATGATTATGATTAGGGTTAGGATAATAGTGAAAATATCAATGAAAACAGGGAGTCGGATCAAACATAATTGCCTACATTTTTTATTTACTTTTTTTTTTTTTAGAAATGTAGAATATAATTATGTAGACCATTTATTTTATCCATATAAAGGCTTTAAAAAACAATTATAAAGACAACATAAAAATAACTGATCTTCATATCTTGTGCAGTTATTTATTAAAATGTGGTAGAAAAATCACAACTATTTGATTAAGAAACAAGACTTATAATGAAATCCATGGCGCAAACGTCATCAAGTGGTAGTCCAATATGATGGACAGTGGCGTCACTGATTTAATGACGTTATCAGTCCATATTATTAGTATGTCTATGGTGTAAATGCTGAACACACAAAAGGGCTAGGTACAAAATGACTGGAAATCAGTAATGACATCATTGCAAGTTATGACATCATAGGAATGATGACGTTATGGACTTGGATACATAACATGAAAGGTTAGCTTATATCTTAAAGTAAAAATTATGAAATGAAATTCACAAGTAAGGAAAATTATGCATGATTTTGACCCCCCCCCCCCCCCACTGGATTTGACTCATTTAAGGCATTTGGCAAAACTAAATTAAGGAATTTTTTGTACTATGATGTATATAATTACTTATTTTGTATATTATTTGTATATTACAGGAAGTACTACAAGAGTAATCATAGCAGCAGTAGTAGGATCATTAATATGTTCATTGTTACTAGTAGTAGCTCTAGGATGTACTTGTAAATTATATCTACTTAGAACACGAGATCACTGTCGACAACGTCACAGTACACCACTTAGTCGTTTACAAGTTGAATTAATGGGAAGGCGAGCTCCACCTCCATCCTATAATGAAGCAATGTTAACCTCAAGACCATACGAGGAGGTACGGCAGGAGATCATGACAAGGCAATGTGTGACAGTAGCGGGTGAAATCAACATGACAAATCGTCCTTTACCTGTTCCACCATATGAACCATCTACACAAGACGATTTACTACATTCTCAGAGGATTATAGATAACAATCTTTCTACAGAACAGTTAATTCCAGAGTCCAACAGTGACTCAGAGACTTCTGGTTGTGATAACCCTAATTATGTCAGTGATGACGATGAATTATTGGATCTCGAAGACAACTCAAATATACAATTACAGATGCGTTCAGATGTTGGTCTGTTAGCAGCATGGAGATCGTCGTCTAGTTTATCAGCGTCTGACAATTTGTCAAATGATACACAATTGTTAGATCTAACAGACAAAAATATCAAAGAATGTGATAAAACAAAACTGACTTCTTCTTGTACAACTTCTACAGATACAGACACACAGATTCCACCCCAATCTCCACATTTAAATAGTAATAATGACTCACAGTTGCCTATTGACACTAACACTACATTACCTATAGTGTCTGTATTGGAATCTGAAGATTCTTCTCTTTCAGATTCTTCAGATACAGTGCCTTTGATCAATGGTGTGTAGATAAAACCTAACAAAGATGAGGTCACTAATCTAAATTTGTCAGATTTTATATTTTTGTAACTCTTTTTGTGATTATTTTGTTGACGTCTATTGTATTGTTTAAGCTCATTGATGACTGAATAAATTAATTAAGTAAAACTTATTATTATCTATAGTGTGTACATTTTTGTTGATTTTAATAGCTGTTTTATTTACAATATATTATTAACCAAAAAAAATCACACATACCCTCTTTGTATATAAATCTAAGCTGTACTATATGACACATTTTTAATTTATTTTTTCTAATTATATAAAATGTTTTTAACAAAAATTAAATAACAAAATGTAAGGTATATTTTAGGTACCTGTTTTGGAGGGATGAAATTGTCAATTATCAACTAAGTATTTTACCACTTTATGTTATAAGTCTTAATATATTGGCAAAATTATACAATAGCTATTTGCTTAATGATTCTCCTGCAATTGGAGAAATTGTTATCTCTGTAATTATGACCTCCTTTTACAAACTCCATAATTCAGATCAGTAGTAAATTATTATCTGATTAATAGAGTAGCATTACATGCTATTTAGATTATATATATGATAGAACTAGTAACAAAATATTGTTTTTAATTAAAAAATAAACATCTGTCCCCTCTACATGGTTAGAATCACAAATATTTAATATTTTAGTGCTTTTATCCTGACTAATTGCTATAATATAAGTTTGCTTGTATCTTTTTTACTACTAAATATGCTTTATTTTCTTCAAAAGATATGTAAACAACAAAAAAGAAATAATTAATACATTAGAAAGAATTATTTATATTCACAAAATGCAGATAGCAATATGTATTTATTTCTTATTTGGATTTACAATAAATTTGGGAAGCAGTAATTGTTTCAACATGATTTGATGTGCATTATAGCTAGTCCTAATATATCACATAATTTTTTATCAAAATATAGTAATATTATCTAAAGAAATACACTAACTACTGATTGAATTCTATGTAAAATGTTTAGATATCAATAGGATAGGATAGTCTTTCATAGTACAGAAGATAATTTAAAAGTATTTCTAAATATGCACATATTTAACATAGATTTATTACAGTTATTTGAATCTGTAGGATCTTTTTTAAACATTTTCAGATGTTTATAAAAAAATGAAATGTAATGGGGTTTAACATCCTACTTTTATAATGAAGTGCATTTCACAGTGATTCACTTAGTGTTCTTGGTAGATTTATTTACTAAATTTAATAGGTATTGTTACATCAGATTATAATCAGTACCTTCCCAGATAGACAGTTGTCATAAATTTCACATACAATATAATTTGAATCTCCTTGATGTAACTTCTATTATACCAATACCCATTTACAAAAATCTCAAAGTTAATTATATATATTTCGAATTCATAGAAGAGATAAGTTGGGATTGATAATGTTTTTGAGCAGAATAGAAAAATAATACACACATGCACCACACACAAATGTATAATATCATTGTTTTACAATCTACGGTAATTTCTTTTTCAAGATTATAATGATAAATTATAATATAAATTATATTAAATATATCACCTCACCAAAATTGTATTAATGCTAACAAAATAAATTAAACAATGCTACTTATTATTATATTTATAGATCCCAGTAATAAAAAATTGTTTTAAACAGGTTTTTTTCTACTTTTGTTAGTTTTATTTTAAAATGGGTTGTTTGGATATGGTTTTAAAATATTTATGGGAGTGAAGCTGTTGGTTTGGTTGGTTGAAGTGTAAAAATGAAATAGGGTTTAAAGTCATACTGTTCAACACCAACTGGGCTAATGAAGACTGGCAAATTTTGCCCAGACAGCGGCACTACTGCTTACTCTTTTTTCGTATTCCAGGCTTACTAGAGAATAAGAAAATCCTTTCACCGTCACTGTAATTTATTTGGAAAGTAATTAATTAAGCTTTCGATCCGTGAGTTAGTTAGTATTAAAAGGCTTCGAAAAGAGGAAGACAACCAGGATGGTAGCAGACCGGTGTCATACAACTGATTGAATAGTGGTTTTGTGTAGAAGTAACCCCTTTTTTATAGCCCCAAAATGTAATTTGGTCATACTGTCTGTCCAGCTGTCTGTCTGACATCCACAATTTCTTGTGAACACCCTACAGTTAATTACTTCTAGAGTTACGTCAAGAGCCATGGCCCTTGGTTCACTTTGTTGAACCTTGTGAACACTCTTAACGCCAAAAGGTATCCTCTGATCTTTGTGAAATTTATATGTATTATTTAAATTAGTGAAACGATGAAGCCTATATAATAACTACTTCTAGAGTTATGGCTCTTGTTTCACTTTGTTCAACCTTGTTAATGTATGAGATTTATATGCATCACTTAAATTTGTGAAACGGAGGTCTATTGAATTTCAACAATTTCTGTCAATTACTTCTAGAGTTATGGCCCTTGTTTTACTTTGTGAAATTTGTGAATGTTCGAATGACAAAAGTGATCATCCGATCTGTATGAAATTTATATGCATTATTTAAATTAGTAAAACGAAAAAGCCTGTCAAATTTCAACAATTTCTATAAATTACTTCTGGATTATGGCCCTTGTTTCAGTTTGTTTCAGTTTTGAATCCCCAGTTGTACGTGACAAGGAGTAGGGTCGCCTGTCCAACCTCGTGGGTTTTTTCCGGGTCCTCCGGTTTCCTCCCACTGCTAAAGACCCCTATGCGCAAGTGAATTATTGAAATAAAATTTAAAACAAACATGTTAGTCCCGAAATGACCTAGTTTGTGTCGAGTGGTCGTTAAACCATATTTCTCTCTCTCTCTCTCTCTCTTTTATAGTTCTGCAGTGGAGCTTACAAAATAATTTAGAAGTAGTAAGTATATCATTCCATATCAAGTTGACCAAATTTTGGAAAGTTGGGAACATGACCCCCTCCAAAATTATGAAAAATATATGTTAATCCGAAATTATAACTCTCTAGGTCAAAAACTCGCTTCAGATATGGCCATTTGAAATTAGGGTGCTGAAACGGATCATAAATTCAGTAATTGTTTTCGGGTGCTTTAAACTCACATTTCTAATAGTAGCAGAACGCTCTAACTTTGTAATCTAAGACAACTTTTGGTTAACCATAGGCATCAATTTTTGAGAAATTGAAATTTCTTTAAATTAGCTAACAGATATCAATACTATCCAAAGCATTTTGTTTCGGGCATCTTCATTATTTTCATTTTTAAGGAAGTGAAACTTGCATGAAGATGTAACAGTCTGATTGATTTGTAAAGGAATTCCAAGGCCACAAACAGGAAATTGCGCTTACAGCCGTCTAAAGTACTAAAAAGGACTAGAGCCATCGTGTATTTTTCGTGCATTGTAATACATTTGACAATATTTTGTTATTTTATTGCTTAGACAGACCATGGGTCTTTACTTTGGCGGCAACCGTTCCGGTCACCCGAAACATTCGAGACGTATCATTTCGCTTAGCTTAAAGAAATGAAATGAAATGGGGTTTAACGTCCTTCGCTTAAAGAAAGTAAACCACAGGTCAATATTAACCATAATATTCGAAATAAGAATTCAATATTGATCCATTTTAATCAATATTGAAGCTTCCAAAGAATAGAGCTATTCACCACTATGAGATTCGTTTTAGGTTATTTTTTAAAAATAAATCTTGAAACTTACGTCTCAATTAACCGAGCGTAGAATATAATATTTCCAAACTGGGCTTATCTATACACTCGATAGGGGGATAGGAAATATAAACTGATTTGTCGTATATAAAAACCTATATTTGGCACCTGTCCATATTTATCTGATTAGAGTAATAGTATACAGGTGTAAACAAGTAGTGACTATATTTTATACTGATCAATAATCTTTGATCACTAACACCATCGATCAAGCTGAACAAGGGTATATTTCATGTAACCTAACGATATTTTCTGTGAGATAAAAGTGTGCGCAGTTTATCAGCATTAATTATGAATATGGGATTCGGGTAACTGCATGGTGCCATTTGGTAAGAGAATTGACATTTTTTTTACAGTTTGTCTCGGAAAGTAACAGGTAGAATAAAGGCCTCGAATTTGAAAAAAAAAATATATATCTTCGCATTTCTTATAATGTAACAATAAAAAACTACGTTTTAAAATTTCTATAATTTATTTATGCAGTATACCTGATTTGAAATGTTATTTTGTATTCCTTGAAAATATCGGGTTTAAAAACTATTGACCAACTCTTCGGTTAATACTATTTGTCAGAAAAAAACTTTATATTGAAAGTGTACTTTTTGCTAAAGCTTTGTGAATGATTGTTCCTGGTGCAGTCTATCTGTACTATACTTGACAACTGTAAAATTGTAACCTCTGGGGAATAAGTTGTAACTTCGTTGTTTTGAATGACAAATTGATAGTTGATTGCCATTTTGTATTTAAAAATGTTCGCACAATTTTTAATTTAATCCTTGCCATCTGGGGCCGACTGTTATCTGTAGCGGAGAGAAAGTCTGTTGCTAGAACCCTAATTAACTTTAAACATACATTATGCAAGAGCTAAATCTGCCAATTGCAGGTCTTTTTGTTAGGTCTGAAATGTTATTAACAAAACAAGACCATAATCAACTCTCGATGGCATCAGATAATCGAGATTTTAACTAGATTAGGTCGGTTCGCCATTTAAAAATTTAATTTAGAAATGGGAAAGCGAGGCGAAGTCTCGAATATACCAGTACCCTGGTTACCACTATGCGCACATCTTGTCAAAACTACCAACAGTGATAACTTGACCCAGAATGAAGTAATTTGAATGAAATTTTCAATATTTTCATTTTACATTGTCTATATTTTAGCTATTATAGCAAGAATGGTCAGCTTTTTATCTAAACCTTACATAATGTATCTCTAACATGTCGTTAATTTGCCGTTATATATTAATGAAGGTGTTGGGCTCCGTTATGTGTTTAACGATACCATACATTAGTCGGCCGTCAGTTGAAGAATACCCTTATCAAAATTCTTATAAATTAACAGTGGAGTTTTCTATAGAATTCAATAGAACATTCTAGAAGGGGAGGGGGCTTTTCTATAGGTTGTAATGCTAGTGTATTCCACAAAATTTGGGGGGCCTGCAGGAAATAACGACCTCTGTAGTGCAAATCCTATATTTTTCCCCACAGATCTATACTAAACTTTCTATAGGAAAATACTATAGTATTCTATAGATTTTTTAAATAGTGTTTTCTGTAGTAAATTTTGTCTTTAATCAAGTTTTGTGTACAGTTGAGTTGTCTCACTTTCTTCAGTTTCTTCTGAATACTAACTTCTATGTACATTGAATTTAAAATTTTAAAATTCAGCCAATGACCAAACAGTCTTCTCTTGGATTAACGCGAACCAGTCCGTTAGCTAACGGATAATGAAATTGGCTTTCCAGCAGCAGAAATTTAACAGGCCGTTAACAAACGACACGTTATCAAGATAACGATCCGTTAGAGTTTAAGGGAACCTTAATAATATAACTGAGTTTTGAGCAACCGGGTCCAGGAGATTAACTTTTTTGACTGTCCAGATCTCATTAATTGATTTTTAGTTCGCTGTCTAACTGAGGTTAGACCCTAAATATCATTTTACTGGGTTTGAGGGTTTATATAGGTTAAATCTACAACCATACACTATTTTTAGAAAAAAAATGGCATAACACATTATACTCTAATCTTACTTAGCTGCAGTACTTTAATATCTCGGAGACTCGGGTTACCCTAATCCGTTAGCTTAACTCTTGAAATAACTATGTAAGTATTAGTAAGTAAAGGCATATTTTATAGGACAAGATTAACAAATGGTAAGTTAACCTTATCTTTACTTATGTTATCCTTGATCTGTAAATATAGGGATATTATTCAGTTAAACTGTATTCTTATTAATTTATGACACCCATACAGTTTTTAATTATAATTTTAAACATACATTATGCAAGAGCTAAATCTGCCTATTGCAAGTCTTTATTTAGGCTTCAGATGTTATAGAAATTATTAATTAGACCTTTATTTACACGACAAGCTTAAAATCAACTCTGTAGACCCACGGATGGCTTGGATACAGTCTGGATTTAAAAAGTCGTCCATTTAAAATTAAATCAATAAATGGCGAACCAAGCTAACGTTTACCGTTAGTCGCTGATGTCACTACCGGAAACTGGTGATGAAAGGCCTGCCCAGAGAGGCTACCATAGCCATTGAGCATGTTACTTGATAATCGAGAATATGTTGCTGGAGTTATCTTCTGTCGATCAAACGATCACGAATTCTCATAGACGGTGCAGACACAATTGATGCCTATTTCTAGTCCAAACTTCCAACAGTCACAATTCCGTTCAGAACAAAGTAATTTGACTGAAATTTTCAACATTTTCTTTTTTTTTATCATCTATTTTTGAATTATTGTAGCAAGAATGACCAATTCTTTATAAAACTCTTAACTAATGTATCTTTAAATATAATTATCATTTTTTCTTAGAATTTTCATTTGTGTAATGATATGAAATTTCCTAAAAAAAAAAAAAAATTTGAATCCCGAATAATGAAACACGGTGGGTAAGTGAGTAAGACGCCGGCTCCCTTTACAAGACAAACAAAAAACAAAAAAAACAAAACAACAGACGCTGGCTCG